TCGTCCCAATTCGGCGATTACAAAAGGTGCGGTTACGCCGGGGTGCGGTTTGCGATCGGCGCCGTGGGGGGCCTGGGGGGCCCGACGCTGTCCTCGTCGAGCCTCTGCGGGGCGCGGCGGAGAGCTCCATCGAGGCCCCCGCTTGCCTCCCAGGGTGCCCCCCCCGGGTGCCAGTTGCAAACCGCACCCTCTGCAAACCACACCCTTTGGAGCCGCCGACCAATGCAGGCTCTTCCTCCTGCCATAGACGAGGATGGCACAGCTAACAAGCGGAGCTGATGTGCTTCAAGGCTTGGTCCACCTGCCAACTAGCCGCAGCAGATTCATCTGCTGTGGGATCCTTGGTCCACAATGGAAGCCACTCCTGCAGCGCACCCTCCACATCCGGAGAGCCACCTGGAGGTAAAGACTCCGCGTCGCCAGGCAAGACCATCGGAATGGGCTCCACAACCTTCGGCTGGATCAGCTTGTGCGCCGCTCTCCCCGGGCCAGGCGGAGCCGAGCTGCAGGACTCCCCCCCGAGCTTGGCCGTGGCCGGTGAGGCTGGTCTTCCGCGAGTGGCCACTTCCACCTCACGTCAAAGGTGCTGGAACCACGCCGATGCAGGGCTACCCCTCTCAGCCATGGCAGGCCACTCGTCGCTCGCCACCTTGCGGAGCGCCTCGGCGCCAGAGATCGACTCAGGAAGGACTGAGGAGGAGCAGGAGGAGGAAGAGGAGGAGCAGGAGGTGGAGGAGGAGGAGGAGGAGGAGGAGGAGGAGGAAGGACTGGGGACTTGGCTTGCAAGTACAGGCGTGCTCGCATGGCCTGCCGCTTGCCGCGGGACCCGCGGCCCGCCTGGCCCCAGCGCGGCCTGGCCTTCCAGACGTGGAGGAGATTCCGCCGGGCCGCAGTGCCAGCAGATGCGTGGAATCGCCGCTTGCCCTCATGCACCTCCAAGCGGGGCCTTTCGATCATGCGTATGCCCAGCCCCCGTCCACGATAGTGATGGGCATCCTGCGCATTGACCAGCTACGCGCGAATCAAGGGAGCGCTCTGCAGGGTCGAGCCACCTGGCGCTTGACTTCTGCAGGCAATCCGAGGGCTCGAACAGCCCCGCCTGTTCTAACCGCCCTTCATCAGTGGACTGCCCTACGCGGCCTCACAGAGTCCTCGGAGTCGGGGTCCTTCTTTGGCCACTGAGAAAGCCTGGCGGGGATCCTCAATCCAGACAGTGCCCGCTCCAAGGCGCAGCGCACTCGGTCATGTGTGCCAGATGGCGCGCCTTCGAGGGCCTGAAGGGGCAGCAACATGGTGTGCCAGAGTGCGCGGCGCGACGAAAGAGTCGTACTCGTTGCCCCCGCAGGTCGGGGCGCCAGGGTTGACAATGATGCCCTCCACTTGGTGCCAGTCGCGGGGCGCAGGGATGTATGATATGAGCATCCGCATTCCAGTCGGGGCCGATGATGGCCAGCGCAGGGTACTGCCAGCAGTAGATGCCCCCTCAGAGAGCAACTCCAGGCTGTCGCCCGTCAAGCCAACCGATGTGACCATGCCGAGCGAGGTGGCGAGGACCACGGGCCCTTCTCCAAGGTGGGGATCTTCCTGGCCACGATGCGGCGCGACCGTTCCGAGGGTATCGGGATGCCGCCAAGGACGCCAATGTGCGTGCCAACGCAGAGCCCTAACCCCCTTCCCGACAGCTAGGCGCCCTTTACCGGCCCGCCCCTCGGAGGGCCAAGGGCGAGGAGGAGTTTTCGTCCTCAGCACCACTGCCTGGCACCGCCAGCTGCCTCAGCGTCGGGGGGCCTCGTCTCCTGAGCGATTGCCACGACGAAACTACGCCCAGCCGCGACATTCAATTCCATGATGGCGCGAGCGCCCTGCCGCGCGCCACCGTTGCCAGTGGCGACCTGACGATGGGATGAGCGCCCGCAGCTCGACGCAACCAGGTAGGCTCTTCCCGCACGGGCCCGACGGGAGGGGGGGTGAGTGCAGAGGCAGTCGGGGTCGACGTAGAAGCAGACGACGCCACCAACGATGACGCTGCAGCCTTCATACTGCCCGCCCCCAGTCCATCCACCAGATAGAATGGCTGCCCACCTCGAGGAGCATGAGCCCGAACACTGTCAAACCACGCTCGAAACAGATCGATCAGGTAGTCTAGCTCGGGCCAATGATGGTTGACGACCTCATTCCGTGCGCCTTGGGTTTAGAAACCGCAAGTACGTGGTGAAAATTCTAGCGACGGAGAGCTCCTCGACGCCGAGCAGCGCGGCGCGCCTCCGACACCGCCTCGGCCACAGCCCCCCTGCAGGCCCACGCCGCAGAAGGGAAGCCGCGCTAAGCTCACGCTGATCATCCAAGTTGAGCACAGTCGCGCGCCACGCCTCGCACCAGTCTGATTAGGAGTCGGCAGCCACCTGCCGCCCCAACTGACATTCCAAACCCAGCGCGCAGACCAATCTACAGAGTCGCCTTCCAACGCAGCCCGAGCTCGTCCAGGATCAAGCCGAGCATGACCATTGAACCCAGGCGGTGGTAGACGCATGCCAAACGGCCCGGCACAAAGATGCTCAGTGGGCAAATCCAGGCGCTGCCAGTCGCTCACAGTGATGTAAGAGAAGGACATTATGGGACAGATGAGCCATCCATCATTTCACTTTAGCAAGGGGAGAAGGCCGACGAAGCATGCCCACCGCTTCGTCTGCCGAATGCGAGCTGGAGCTTCTACGCGCGCGCTTCTTCGTCGTCAGCTAGTGGGGACACTCCCCCTGCGGCGATCTCGGAGCGCATCTGCGCCACGTCAGGCTCTGGGGCCTCAGGCGCAGCAGAGGGCGTGGCCTCGACCACCGAGGTTGCGCCTCTCAACGTCGCTCGGCTGACAGGTGCCTCGAGCCGCGCCAGCGCCTGCTGCGAGCACTGCGGAATCTGTTCGCACAGCGTGATCGCAAAGCCCCATAGGTCGGGCACCTGGACGCCGAGCTCGTCCAGGCCTTGCTCCAGCAGCAGCCGCGCCATGTCCGAGCCCAGCTGCAAGACGGTAGCCTCCGTGGATGCACCCGACGACGGCGCGGCGAGCGCCGCCCCCTGAGACGCCAGGGCCGCCCGCTGCGTATTCAGCCGCGCCAGGAGCTGCTCCTGCTCCGAGACACGGGCGTCCGCTTCCTGGAGCGCCTTCTCCGCGTCGACCACGCGATTGCGGCAAGCGTTCTCGTGCATCTTGGGCTTGGGGAGCTTCTGCTCAGCCTCGCCCACTCTCTGCAGGAGCGGCCGTCGCCGTGATGCCACGGGGGAGAATCGAGAAGGTGCTGCTCGAGCGCCTGCCGCTCGGCGCGAAGGTCGGCCTTGATGCTGCTCCAGATCCCACCCGCCAAGGAGGCGATGGTGCCGAGCTTCTTATCAGTGGCCGCGATGCGGTCCCTGCCTGGGGCCAGTTCGCACTCGCCATCGTCATCCTGGCACGCCGTGGAGGAACGCCCAGCTGGTGACTGCTGAAGCTTCGCTTTCTCGAGCTCGCGCTCCAGACGCTTGATCTGCGCCTGGAACTTGGCCATCTGCCCATCCGCGCTGCCAGGCGGCCCTTGAGTCCGTGTCGACTGCATGACCCAGGGCGCACGCTTGGAAGGGACAGCAGGCGTGACATGCCCACCAAAGCAGGCCGACTTCGCGATGTCGCAGGAAAACATGTCCTGTTCTCGGCCAAGTTGAGAACGGGTTTGCTGGTCCTGGGGCGCACGCGAGTCGTGCGGTGCCACTTGTGGGGCCCCACGTCCTTCGCCATGTTCTCCCTGGTGCAAACCACACGATCACCCGAGGACTCTCGCTGGGGCTGCTGATCCCTCGAGCGCCGCGGCGACCCAGAGAAGGTTGGACGACTGCCGCGGACTAACCGTATCCCTGCAGGAACGGAGGCGCGGAGCCCCCAAGGTGCAGACGTCTTGAGCCAGGATGGCTACGGGGTAGGGGTAGGAGGAGGAGTAGGAGGAGGAGGCGGAGGAGGAGGAGGAGGAGGAGAAGGAGGAGGAGGTGGAGGAGGAGGAGGAGGAGCAGGAGGATGATGAGGAGGAGGGAGGGATGAGGAGGAGGAGGAGGAGCAGGAGGAGGAGGAGGAGGAGGAGGAGGATCAGGAGGAAGAGGAGGAAGGGCGTCGGGATGAGGTGTGTGTGGGGGGGGGGGGGGCGCTGCCTGGGGAACAAGGAACTCCATAGGGGCACAGTCCCACACAGGGTGGCACGTGGTCGGTGCAGGGACTGGAGGACCACCAGGGAACCATCAGAGGGGGTCACGAGGGGGCCGCGAGGACCGCCAGCGGGCCACAAGGGGGCCGCCACGGGAGCAGGAGGGCGGGGCGTCGGAGGGCTGGGAGGAGGAGAAAGTTGTTGAGGTGGGGGTCGAGGAGAGAAACGGTGGGGAGGGAGGAGGGCTCACGCCTCCGGCGTCGTGAGCTTTTCAGTGCGTGGGTTCTGGGGCTCCCGATCCATCCCGCGGGCTCCCTTCCTTTGGGCGGATCCTGAGAGCGTGAGAACGGCGCTCGAGCGCGGAAGAGCTACCACATATTCCTGCCTTGTCTGTGTCAAGTCGTCAGGGGGCTCATAAGGAGGAGAGGTGGTAAGGCTTTCGGGCTGCGCACAGGCAGCCTGGGCTGGCCTCAACAGGCCCCCGAGCAGTCGGAGCGTTCTCGGCACCTCAAGCAGGGGGTGCCCCAGGGGCGCCGCCGCAGGCGGCGCCGGGGTGCTGAAAGCGCCCTGGGCTGCTCGGAGGCGCCGCCGAGCAGGGGACCACCTGGGGGGCTCTAGCCCTACAGTCGGCCCGGTCTAGTAGGTCGACCCTGCCGGCTCAAGGGTACCCTTGTGTCCTGTGCCTCGCGACACGTGCCTTCTTACACTCCCATGGCGATGTGGCCCTCGGAAGGGTCATGTGTCCTCTCGCGCGTCCTGTCCAATCAAGGCCGAGTGTACACTGTACACAAAGGAGGGGGGGGGGGACAGCGGGACAGCAGGCGGCGGGCGGCAAAGGTCCGTGGTGGCCAGGGCCATCTCCCGCGTGCTGCGCAACCTCCCCTTCATCGCCGCGGTCGGCGGGCAGCCCTCGTCTTCACGGGGGGTTGTGCAGCCCGCAGCCTCACGGAGCCGTCTGGGGGGGAGGCGCGCCAACACCACGCAGTGGAAATCTATCTTTCCTGCTTGTGCACCCATCCCCACAGCTGCGGTCCAGAGTTTTGCGGAGCCCAAGAAAGAAAGGGCGGTCCGCTTTCGAAAGCATCGATTATTGAGCCTCCTTGATCCTCACGCATGCTCGCTTGGATGCAGTCGGGGAAACGGTGGTTGGAGTGAGAGCAGCCATGGATGCATGTGTGTACATATGTACGGATATACACACATATACACATATCTATCTATATGTATGTATGTGTGTATATCTATATGTGTACCCAGCTGCCTCTGGCAATTCCGCCATCGTGCCAGCTCAACATTCTGGGTGGCAGCTACTCCAGAAGGCAAGGAAAGCTGCTGGGTGCCTCTTGGGGCAGAAGGCTCGAACTCGTGGTTCGTGTTCCCACTCTTGGGCCCTTCTTGGGGCCGTCTTGGGGCTCTTTTGGGCAGTCTAGGGCTGTCTTGGGACGCCTCAGCGGCCTCGTTGGCCGTCTTGAAGCCATCTTGGGCCGTCTCGAGGCCAACGTGGCTCGTCCTGAAACAATGTCACTGGGTCGTCTTGGAGGCATCCGGGCCTCGAATCTGTCGCATTCTGCCAGGGGTTGTGGCCTCGAGACTAGGGGTGGTGCACACGACTGGGTGCGATGAGAGCGGGGGCCTTGAAGACTACAGAAGCCCTGCAGGGCAGCACTTGGCATTTGTGACGCCTCAGCGTGCCAGGAGGCACTATGGTGGATACACACGCACGCATATAGATACACTCACATATGTACTCATATGTATGCGTGTATATATACATTAACTGTGTGTGTAGATGTAGATTCATCGATCGAGATGACTATTTAGGTATGTATTTACACATGTATTATAGACCGAACTATGTATATACATCTAAAACAGATGTACAGCTCCATAATTCTATATAAATATACACATATACGCACATATAGATTCGCTCCTCTGACTCCAACCTTGTTCTCCCTCTTCCCTCCTCTTCCTCCTCCTCCTCCTCCTCTCCTCTCCCCCCCTTCCCCTCAGACGGGGTTCGACCCGATCCGTGCGATTCTGCGGGCGATCTGGTCCGTCCCCAGCCGAGGGCACCAGACAGACGGGGCCAGACCAGGAGGGCCTACAAGGAGTCTCGGGAGCAGGCATTCCCATGCGAGATCGTGCTCTCTGGCCCAGGGGGCAGGGATGAGGTCACGGGGGGGGGCAGTAGGAGGAGGAGGAGGCGGAGGAGGAGGAGGGGGATTCATCAGCGATGTTGCACCCCCTCCGATTTCCCTCTTCATCCTTCATAGATCGCAGCACGGTTTTTCCATTGCGGGAAGTGCCCTGTTGAACGGCACTTGTTTCACTTGACGCTGTTGCACCCCCTCCAAGTGCCCTCCTTCTAGATCCCAGCACGGTTTCTCCATTCCGGGAAGTGCCCTGTTGAACGACAATTGTTCCAACCGCCTGAGAATCTTCAGTCGTGCCAGTGCACCATTCCTGGGCTTTCAACGCCGCGGATCGGCATGACCCTTGCGTCCAGGCGGCACTAAACCACACCAACGTGGGACGTCAAGACCAGGTGCGAATCAATGTGATTGTTGCGACCAGGCGGCACTGAAGCGAGAGCCGCACTTGAAACGGCCCGCCCTCCATCCTTGAAGCTGCTTGCCAGCTTTTGAGACAAGCGTGCGCGGCACCAAAGCGAGAGCCACGTCTTGAAAACCACCCGCCCTCCTTCCTTGAAGCGTGACGCATCCCAAGTTACGCACAGGATCATGAATGGTGAGGAAGTCTTAGGCGACACACCCTGTGTCCGCCATATCAACGCGTCTGGGGGTGCGACAGGGAGAAGTGATCTATGAGAAGAAAGGGGAGGGAGGGAGGGAGGGAGGGAGGGAGGGATGGCGGCGGCGGGGAGGAGGAGGAGGAGGAGGAGGAGGAGGAGGAGGAGGGCGGGAGGGAGGGAGGGAGGGAGGGAAGGCGGGAGGAGGTGAAGGAAGAGGAGGAGGAGGAGGAGGAGGAGGACGAGGAGGAGGAGGAGGAGGAGGAGGGGGTGGAACGTCAGGACGAGGAGGAGGAAGAGGAGGATAGGAGGATGCGGATGATTCAGCGAGTACAGTGCAAGGCCACGATGCAGCTTCCAAGGAAGGGGGATGGGGGGGGGAGGGATACTCCCCCCCCGACCAGAACAAAGGACTCGCCCAGCAGCTTCACGACGAGGAGCCATCCATCCTGCGCAGACCGCGCGCGCGCCATGCCCGCGGGAGCGAGCCCCACCAGGCACCAAAGGGCACACCTGGCGCCCGGCAGCCCGCGACACCTGACAGCCTTAACTGTCGCGATGCGCCCGTTGTGAAACGCAACACGTGCCGTGCTCAAAACGTCCGTGTCAATACGTTCCGTGTCGGCCCCATGTATTGGCCCACGTTTTGGCGAACGCATCGCGTCGGATCCACGTTTTCCGTCGACATGTTGCGTCGCGTATCAATACGCTGCGTGCTGCGTGTTGCGTATCGGGGCAGCTGAGCTGACAGCACGCAAAGGGTGCCACCCAGGGCGTGCCCGAACACGCCTAGCACGGCGGCGCCTTCCACCATCATCCCATACCCAAAATCGAAGGAGAACAAAACGCCGTACACAAACTTGGCGCTCCGCGCGGACCTCTTGGATCCGTGCTGGGCCCCCTCCGGCGGCGATCCTGGCGCGCTCCGCGCGCCAGGTAAGGGGGGTCCAGCGCAGATCCGAGAAATCCGCGAGGAGCGCCAACAGCCTATATTTATGGCGTTTTGTTTATCTTATAATCCCATCCAAGAGGCATGCACCGCACGGGATCGTGCGATCGGCACACACGCGTGTACCATGCAGTCGGTGATGGCCGCCTCGTGCACTTCGAGGCCCTTCTCAGCATCCATAGCCGTGCCGTACACTTCACACGGCTGCCCATCTTGCTCCAGAAACCCGGCGTCGCTTCCACGACCGCACCATGCTTCAGCAGGCAGGGGGCATATACCGCACAATACTGTGCGATCGGGACGCACGCTTGAACCATCTCGTCGCGGATCAGCTCCAACATCTGCGTCGTCGAACATGCGTTGTTCCTCCACGATCCTCAAGCTCTCGCCAGCGGGGCCAGACCCGATGCCACCAGCGGGCACATCCATCACTTACTCCAGCAGGCCGATGCCCTCGCCCCTGGGGGTCGTGCTTGGCAACGGCCGCCTTCTCGTCGGGGCGCACCTGGCGGTCCCCGAACTCCTGCCCAGCGCCACGCTCCTCCTGGTAGTCGGGCAGCTGGAGGCGACGCCCTCCACGCCCTCGGACGCCACCTCCGCCTCCCCCATGCCCACGCCAGCGCTGGCCAGCGCGGGTCCGCCAGGTTGATCCTGCGGCTTCGGCTCCTGCGACTCCGAGTCATCCCCGCACTCGCACTGCGACCAAGCGCAACTCCTCCACCAGCGATGGGGCGGGGGGCGACGACGAACTCGGGCGAGCGAAGGCGAGCGCGGAACTCTTCGATCTCCACCGCCGTGATCCCAGAGGGGGCCGTGGGGAGCGGCGCCAGGCCAGGCGGTACACGGTGTCGAGCCCAGTTGCCCGAGGTGCCGAGGTCCTCGGCCAGCGCCGCGAGCTCGTCCAGGCCAGTGAGCTACGGTCGAGGCCTCATGGCCGCCCAGCGCATCGCCTGGGGCCCAAGGGGCCCCCGGCAGCCCCTCCAGAACGTCAGCTCTCGTGCTGATGGCAGGCGCCCGCGACTCGCCCGACAGCGGCGCGCCATTCGCGTCGGCGCGCCCGGCCAGCGTGCGCGCCGACGCCGCAGCCCAGCGCCGCTTGCCGTCGGGCTCGAGGTCCGCCACGGGCCGCTTCCGCGCGCAGCTGGGCGCACGCCGCCGAGCGTGGGCCGCCCGACCTGCCCGACCTGCCTGAGCCAGCATGGCTACGGAGGAGGAGGAGGGCTCGGGAGGGGAGGAGGAGGTGTTGGAGGAGGAGGAGAAGGAGGATGTTGACGGCCCAGAAGGCAGAACAAATCGGCCAATCGGCCAAATCGGCCAAACCGGCCAAATCAGGGGCACACGTGTACAAAGAGGAAGCAGGCACAAGCTGAATCCGTCCTCCGGCCTCCTATTATTGGCTAACCCTCAATAGCGCCGAAACCTCGTGCCTTAGGGGGGAAACCAACAAATAGGAAGCAACGGGCAGGACCGCAGCATTGGACCAGCGACCGCACCCCGCAGGGTGAGGTCGCCCCCTGGCCCCTTCCCCCCCGGCCAAAAAGCGGGGCAGGAGGAGGCCCCACCAGGGGCGGGGTTGGTCAAGTGCTGGGCCTACCCCGTAAGACAACACGGAGCGGTACCCAGCGCCAGAACCTCATCATGACACGGCCAGCAATTTGCCCGCGGCAATTAGCATTCCAACCAACGTGGTTGGACGCTGTGAGCCGCGGGCACCTGCCTCCGCATCATCATCATCGGCAGTGCACCTCATACAGGAGGTGCCACACGGCGCCCAGGCTGCACCGCTTGGCCGCGGTGGCAGGGACTTTAAAAATACCCTGGCCTGACGGCCAGAGGAGAAGGAGGAGGAGGAGGAGGAGGAGGAGAAGGAGGAGGAGGAGGAGGAGGAGGTGCTGGAGGAGGAGGAGGAGGAGGAGGAGGAGGAGGAGGAGGAGGTGTTGGAGGGAGACGGCACGAGGGAAGACGAGGAGGATGATGAGGATGACCAGAGCAAGCCCAGGATGCATCCGCGGTGCTGCAATCTGCACCCTCCCGTCCCAGGTCCCCGACCCATCAGTCCGTGCACGTGTGGATCTCCACTGCGGGGAGCGCTCCCCCCCATGCGTGACGAGCGTCCAGTGGGCCTGCCACTCGGGCGAGAGCTCGGTTTGTCAAGGCTCCATCTCCCGTCTGTGCAGCAACAACGCAAAGACGTAGGATTAAGTCGGGCCTGCCCCTCCACAGGAGGAACATTCAAGATATAGTTTTTGGGGGAAAAAATGCCTGGGGACGTTGTTTCCTGTATTTTTTTGGATATGTTGGAATATTGTTTGACTATGTATAAGTTTGTGCCCCAACCCCCCTTGTAGGGGGCCATGCCCGTCCTAAACGTAGGATGAGCGCGTCCACGGACGCGGCCAGCGACGGCCCCGTTCTGCCAAGGAGCCTGCCCTCCGTCCGTGCAAGGTCTGCGCGCAAGCTCACGATGTCGCCAATCCTTCTCCTCCTCCTCCTGCTGCCGTGGAAATCTCTCCAGCGAGCGCAGTCAGGAGTTAAGTCGGGCATGCCCCTCTACAGGAAGAATATTCAAACATGGTCGAACATTAGTTTCGGGACGATTCTTTAGTATTTGTCTTGCTTATGTTTGCATGTGTCTGTATTTGTCGTGCAGAGCCCGCCTGTAGGAGGACACGCCCGACATAATCATAGAGTTATCAGGACAGCTCACGCGGTAGCAGCATTCTGAAACCGAGCTTGCCTCCATTGTAGCTGTTGGAAACGTTTTAAAGCGGATGTGCGCGGCGATGATGCGAGAGCCGAGTTTCGAACACCACCTCGCTCCATCTGTTTTCCTGATCGGTTTTTTCACGAGTGTGCTCGGCGCTGATGCGAGAGCCACATTTGGAAAACGGATCGGCCTCCACCTTCGTAGTTGTTGGAAACTCTCAAGACTGATGTGCGCGGCGCTATGGCCTGCAATTTGAAGTCGACTTGCCCTCCACCCGCGTAGCTGTTGGAGCTTGTACAACGCATGCGCGTGGCGCTGTAGCGAGAGCCGCACTTTGGAAAGCACCGGCCCTCCATCCTTGTAATCGTTGGGGTTGTCTTAGCTTCAGGGCCGTAAGTTCTAAGGGCGTCTCTCGCGAAGCGCCTGGCCCTGACGGCGGACACGACTGGTGGTGCGACAAGGCGGAGTTATTCATGAGAAAGAAGGATCAGGGAGCAGGAAGAGGAAGAGGAGAACGGGGAGAAGGGGGATGGGCAGAGAAAGGGGAGGAGGGGGTCCGTTTCTGTCCCCTCTCCCCCCCCCCCCCGTGGCAATGAGAGTGGCTGGCTTACCACGGCTTCATCGCCAGGGACCTCGGCAAGGAGCCTCCTCCCTTCCTCGACCTCCTCTCGTCTCCTCCGTCGTTCTCGTCCTTCCTGGCCTCCGCAGCGTTCTTCCTCTCGACTTCGTCGTTGTATTCGTCCTCTTTGTCATTGTCGTCGTCGGGATCCTCTTCCTCCACATCATTCCCCTCCTTCTCCTCTTTCTGCATCAGCTGTTGCTGCTGCTCCTCTTCTTCGTTCTCGTTGACCTTGCCCTCCTCCTCCTCCTCGACCTCTATTTCATTATTCTCTTCCTCGTGCTTCGCCTGTTCCTCTCTGTTCAACCTCTTTCTCTCCCATCGCACTCTCCTCCCTCCCCTCCCTCCCCTCCCTCTCCTCCCTCTCCTCCTTGTCTTGACCTGCCCTGGGACGTGTCGTGGCCGGTTCTCGAGGCGGATCTGGCCGTGGCGACGAGGGCGCCCTGAGACGACCAGAACGGTCCCCGAGACGTCCTCGAACCTCGGTCCTCGTCCTCCCCCGCCTCCCGCTCATTGGTTCTCTAAACTCGGGGGCACCTCCCACTCTCTGCGCCTCCCTCTTCTCCTCCCTCTCCTCATCCTCCTCCTCCTCCTCCTCCGCCTCCTCCTCCTCCTCCTCCTCCTCCTCCTCCTCCCTCTTGTCCTCCTCCTCCCCGGCGCAGGACCCGTGGGCGCGGCCGGCCGAGGGCTCCGGCTGCCTGCCGCGGGCCTTCGACGTCCCCATACTGCTCGGCGCGCTGGCGTGGTCGCTGCTCGTGAGGACGGCGGCGGCGGCGGCGGCGACCCCCGGCATGGCCGCGTCGTTAAAAAAACAGGACGGAGGTGTTTGGCCATTTTCGGCCTCGGGCGGCCCTCGCGGGGCCCTCGCCGGGCCCCGGGCCCTAACGGCGATGTAGGTTCCGGCAGTGCGGGAACGCGTGCCTCGCGCCTTCCTGCAGTCCACTGCGTCGTGTTCGCTCGATCCATTCGCAGATTGGAAATGTGGGAAAGTGTGGTTCGTGATGTCCTACACTCAAGCAGTGGCGAAGCGTTCTTGCTCGCCTATAGCCCTACCAAACCATGTTCGAAGAACCTTTTGTGGTTCCCACGAAATATTATTAGAACATTTCTGGCTGGGACTGTCTTATTTTAACACATCGGGTTTGTGCTCTAAGAACATTGTTCTTGTTATTAGAACATTTTTAGGTTCTAAAGAACACTTCGCAGTATGACTGTAGGAATGCCGGGAAGGGCGGTCCCTGCTCAATGCACGTTGGTTCCCAACATCACCGTTAATCAACATCGCCGTTAGCCCAGCCTCGGAAGGGGCGATCCTTCTCAGAAGGCTCGGAAGTCCCCTAGCCTTCTGAGAAGTTTCCCAAGCCTTCCCCGAAGGCAAAACAAACTTATCAGAAGGGGCGAAGGCTTCTGAGAATTCCCGCCGCCTTCTGAGAAGGCCTCCTCCTTCGCACTCCCCCCCTCGCTCGCCGCCGAGTGACGAGGAAGTCCGAGCAGGAACAGATGCCGACATCGCTGAACGTCCTGTAGAGCCTTCGTCGCCACGGCCGGATTCTCTTCGACATTCTGAACCGAACGCACACCCGGAGAGGCCCAGGGAGTTGCGGTGTCGGTACCTTTTGGTATCCCAAGGGCAGGCGAGACAGAGGACGAGGACAGGGACGAGGCCGAGGTGACGACGGGGAGAGCGGGGCGAAAACCAGGGAGGGCGAGGACGACGGAGGAGGCGAGATGGGGCCTCTTTTTGGCCTACGGGAGGCTCCTCGTCATCACGGCAGGGCCCGCCTCGAAATTCTGGCCAGAACACACCCCATGATGGGTCTAAGGGACGACTTCTGACTCCCTGATGGCGGCGATGGCGATGGCGACGACGACGACGTCGCGTCGTCGTCGTCGTCGTCGTCGTCGTCGTCGTCGTCGAGGTCGCTTCGAAGGTTTATTGCGGTTAAGCTGGCCTCCTGGACGCAGCTTGGAGCATTGGCCAGGACCAGGGCGGGGACCGATCATGAGCGGAAACAGGTCGGGCGCTGGCCCTTGGGAGCCAGACCTCCCCAGACCACACTCTCCTCCTCCTCGTCCTCCTAGGGTCCTAGGGAAGAGGGAAGGGGGAGGAGGAGAAGAAGGACGAAGAGGAGAAGGATGAGGATGATGATGAGGAGGAGAAGGAGGTGGAGGAGAAGGAGGTGGAGGAGAAGGAGGTGGAGGAGAAGGATGTGGAGGAGGATGAGGATGAGGATTGGGAGGATGAGGAGGAGGAGAAGAAGGAGGAGGAGGAGGAGGAGGAGGAGGGAGGATGACGGCGGCCTTGGTCCTTTGTGGGGGTTCGAGGACCTCTGGGAACCTCTGGGGACAACCTCGGGGGTGGCAGACCTTCAACATCTTGCCATTGCGAAGGGAAGCAGGCGGGGCCATCGTCAGAAGCGACAGCGGACATTGATAAGTGTTCAAGCGTTTGGTGCGGTTCTGCATGGCGCCGACGTCACGGGCTTTGGGCCCCTTGTGGTGTTAATCAGCTCCGCTCTCTAGCCATATCAAAGTCGGCCCGGCAGCGACGACAGAGTATCAAAGAAACTTTGGTTATTAATTTGAAGCTACAGAGCCTCATAAGGATCTTCACCTTCCTATCGCTCTACGTCATCCCGTTTGTGGAGATCGTTGAGATCTTCTTTGGGAAGAACATGCGCGAGTATTTCTGCTCCCGTCATCATGAATGGGAGCTCTCGATGGGCGACGACCTGGCAGGACCAGAGCTCATGTCCCAGAACATGCTCCTAGACCTGTGCACTCTGCCGCTGCAGCTGTTCTTTCTGGCGCTTGTGGTTGCTATTGCGCTTCGCGTGCTCACAGCACTGAAATGTTTTGGCAAGCATGGAAGCATTGGGGACTTATGGCTGCACGGTTGTTCTGCAGCTGTTGCGAGGCTAGCTGCCCTGATGGCCGTACTTGTGATTATCGTAGGCACATGGTCGGTCCTTCCTCGATCCTCACTCCCGCACTCCCTCATTTCGTCTCTCCTCCCTCACTCCTCCCTGCTCCCTGCTCCCTCTTCCCTCCTCCTCTCACTCTCATCCCTCTTCTTCCCTCCTCCTTCCTGCTCCTGCTCCTGCTCCTACTTCTCATACTATGTGTTTTCCTCGCACTCCTCTTCTTCTGCCCCATGTCCTCATCATGCCGAAGGCACTACGACCTTCTTTGAGAAGTGGGCCACCGAAATGCATGTTCACAAGGGGAGGGGGGCTTGTGCAGCATACACCGCGCACGTGGAGAAGGTGCGCCAGAATTGCAGCAGCCTGAACGGGCGATGGCTGTCGTGGGCGTCGCGGTACCACGAGGTTGAATTCTATGAAGTTGCGAGGGGGCACGGTTCGCATCAACGGAACGGTTCTGTTATCTTTCCAAGTATCGTTCACAATTTGAAGCGCATGAACAGCACCATTGCAGAGGGGGTTACCCGTGGGGCAGAGGACTTAGCGCGTACACTAAGCGATTCGCTCATTCCTGCAACCTGGACGCTCTTGATGGTTGCGATTCTGGGTACGTTGATGTTCGTACCTTTCTTCCCGAGCACGATAGCAACGATCGTGATGTTGGTGTTGCCCATCATGGTTTCGGCTCTGTTTGGAAGCATCGTTCAGTGGAGGGTCTTCGGTACCCTACGGAGGATACAGCTTCTTGCCTGGAACCATGCTTATTACAGAAGTGACACGTGGGCCATGATGTATCAAGGCTCCCTGATCGCTTCCATGATTATTCTGCCGTTCTATTTATTTCTTCGAGGCAACAGCCACAAGTTCTACCGACGTAGCCTGCGACGTGCCTTCTTCGCGGGTGGCAAAGAGGTGCCTTGGGGCAGGATCGCAGACAATCCGTTTTGCCCGATGCTCATCCTGAATGCCGCGGTCATAGACTACATCCAGTTGCGCTGTCACGCGAATCCGACACTGCGCTTGGGGAAGGGGAGGGCCTGCAGGCCTGAGGTGTGGGGGGCAGGTTCTTGAATCCGCATGTGCGCCACGGAGGTTCCCAGCCGCTTTTTCCCCGCTGTTGGCGCATTGTTTCCTAATAGCGTTTCGCTCGAGGGTTGTAATAGTTTTAAAAGACGACCACAGAAGAGCCCCACAGGGGGGACGTGGAGCCCTAGACCTCCCAGTCCGACAGCCGTTTCGCCCACGGTTTCTTCACATTGTTTCAGCAATCGTGTTCTCGCCGCCATGCAGGCTACATGTCTGGTCCAGACGGCCACGTTCTCTCGTACAAGACATACGCGAAGGTACATATGGCCGTGTTCTCACCCCTATCCCCTCTAGCCAACCTCCTGCTCCTCGACCCGCTTCTTCACCCTTGCTGCCATTAGGGTACTTTGCCCGGGTACTTTTGGCGTGGAATGGCCGCTGATCCATTCTGTCGCAGCACCAGGTGGACCGTGGGGGCTGGGCCACAGTGTGCGGACAGTGGGGCGGGCGGGCGATGGCTCCGGCAAAGACGGTAGAACGTCAAGGGTAACGGTCCGGACTGGCCAAGGCAAGACCGTATTACCAAACATACTTTTCCATCAATCCCCACGCTTAGGACCCTAGGGTGTTGAGCTTCTTTCCATCTACGACCCGTAATGTTGGGACTAATTGGTCGGATATGAATATGTATACGGTTGAACGCATATGCGCAAAAGGTATGTGTGCATATATATATATATATATATATATATACACGTAAAATACAACCTGTCTGTCTGTCTGTCTGTCTGTATGTATGTATGTATGTATGTACGTACGTACGTACGTAAGTACGTACGTACGTACGTACGTATGTATGTATGTATGTATGTGTATATACAACATATGAATACATACCGCCCCACCCTGGCCCCAGGTCCCACACCTCCCCGTGACATCTCGGGGACGCTCCCGGTGCCGCTCCCCCGGCCTTTCCGGGGAGCCTCCACAGTGCTCCAGGAGGGCCCAAGACGCCTTCCAGGAGCCCCCAGAATGCGAAAGGATGGCCCAAGACGCTCCCAAGCAGCCCAAGTCAGCCGTCCGACGGCTCTCGAGGCTCCCAGGTGGCCTCCAAGAGACCCCAAGAGAGGTCCGAGAGGCGTCCCGGGACGGCCCGAAGAGGCCGACATCGTTGATTTTGATTTGTTTTTTCTATATTTTTGGCCTTCTCACGTTTTCGAGCTTCCAACGCTCGAAGCACGCCGAAGAGCCGCCCAAGACAGACCCTCAGGACGGCCCCAAGACGGGCCAAGAAGGCTCCAAGACTGCCGAAGAGGCGCCCAGGACAGCCCCAGACCACTCCAGAACAAGCCCAAGATGGGCCCAAGAGCGGGAGCAGGAGGCTTCCAGAGACGTCCGAGAGGCCGCCGGGACCCCCCAGAGGCCCCCAACACACCCCCGATCGCTGAGAGCCCCAAAAAGACCCCGACGAGGCTCCAAGAGCAGCCCAAGAGAGCTGCGAGAGCCGTCCCGAGAGAGCCAAAAGAGCAATACATCGTTGATTTCCAATGGTTTCTCTAATGTTTTTCGCCTCCTCACGTTTTCCCGTTTCCAACCCTCGAGGATCGAGGATTTTGAAAAGAAAGCGAATTCCCAGATCTTGTATCTCATTTTTCAAAGTGGACTCCCACTCGGAGATCCCACACATCCCCTGGCATCTGGCCGGTACCGCGCCTCCCGATTTCCCGGGGGGCCCTCAAGACGCCCAAGGACAGCCCAAGACGACCCCAAGGAGCCCCCAGAACGTAAAGAACGGCCCATTACGCTCCCGCGCAGCCCGAGACACCCTTCCGACGGCTCTCCAGGCCTCCAGGAGGCCTCCAGAACCCCCAGGGGGTTCCGGAAGATCCCACATCCTTGAGGGGCCCGGCTGACAAAACCCGCGAGGCACAAACAAAAAACAGCGCCGAACAGCGCCGAGGAATTGGAAACATTGGAAATCCCACAATTCCTTTTTAAAAATTTGGCCCCTGGTCTACTCTTGCACAACAGACCACAATTCAGACCCCCCTCACCTTCCAAAAAGAACCCAGGAAGCCTTTGAGGGCCCCAAATCGGTGAGTACCTGAAGGAAATTAAGGATTTCTGCGTTTCCGCACTTCCCCTTCTATTCGAGTCCGAGGCTTGCGCAGGGCCTCCAAGACAGTCCCTGGACGCAAGAAGCGACCAACATGATATTACATGAGTTAGTTGATCAAGCCTAGCTAGAACTTGAGCGCGCACGAAGCGAGCGCGATAGTTCTAATATATTTAGATGTATCGTAGTGTTGCTCATTGTGCTCGTGGGTTGTGTGCACTAGTTTCCACCTGTCGAAGGCCATCATCCCCGGAGTTGATCAGTCGGCGTGCTCTGCGGTTTTCCCAGAATTTACGCTGGTTCCTGCCTGCGCCTCGCAACACCAGTCGTTCCGCTTGCAAAAATCTGCCATAGTTCTCTCGAGCTTAGGCGAACACATGCTTGTTCGGTCTGGTATGAGCAGGTGCACGAGCGAGCACTGAAACGTATGATCACCAAATGCTATGTATCTCAGCGCGGGCCCGATGGGCCACGAATCGTAGTATGCAACGCTGTCAGTACCCACATTTGCCAGAGATTGTGCGTGTGGTTCCCAGCCGAAGCGTTGGGTACTGGCTGTGTCTGCGGTTGGTCTCTTGGCTGTGTGTGGGGGAGCCCGCAATTGTCCGCAACCCTTTGACACTGTCCCAGCGTTGCTAGTTGTCAGCGGCACTGTGAGACGAGGAAGGCCATGGGAATTACCCTGTGACGTACCCAACCCGTCGGCACCAAGGGACGGTATAAGGTCTGCCAACAATGCTGTGACGGCAACACTGCAAGATACGGTGCACGGCGGATATCTATATTGTGGGAAGTGTGCGTAGCCGACTCGCAGAACAGAGGTACACAAGGCTAGGAGGCATTATGTTGGGAAGGAGAAGTAAAAGGAAGACATCGGGGTGGAAGCACTGTCACTTTGGCAGAAGCAGCGAGATGATGAAGCATGGGCAAGATTTGGTTACACAGGCGGAAACGCAACCAGACAATGAAGTGTCGCGTTTTTCCATGCTGGAATAGTCAACACCTGCTCGTCGTCCTCCTCCTCCTCCTCCTCCTCCTCCTCCTCCTCCTCCTCCTCCTCCTCCTCCTCCCTCTCCTCGTCGTCGTCCTCCTTCACCTTGTCCGCCGCCTCCTTCTCATCCTCCCCCCTCTCCTCCTCCCCCACCCCTCCTGCGCCCGATCTGCGTGGGACCCCACAGTGTTGCGCACCCCAGCAGCCTTCAAATCTGCGACAGTTTCACACTTCGCGGCCCCCCCGGGTTGGCGAGGCCCCCAAGGTCTGCGTGAAACCCCACCGTGTTGCTCCCCCCCAGCATCCTTCAAAAGCAGCTACAGTTTCACACTTCGCAGCCCCCACCCAGGGGTGGCGAGGTCGCCTGGTCCCCCCGCCAGCCTTCGAAAATGGTGACAGTTTCACACTTCGCGGCCCGCCATGGATGGCGAGGTCCCGTTTCGATTTGAGTGTGGCCCCATTGTACAAGCTCCCCCAGCAGCCCTCAAAAGTGGCAACAGTTTCGCATTTCGCAGACCCCAGGGGATGGCGAGGTCCCGGTTGGTCCTGCGTGGGGCCCCACTGCACGGGCTCCCCCAGCAGCCGTCGAAAGTGGCGGCAGTTTCACACTTCGCGGCCCCCCAGGGATGGCGAGGTCCCGGTTGGGTCTGCGTGTGGCCCCTGTGTGCTGGCTCCCCCAGGAGCCCTCGAAAGTGGCGGCAGTTTCACACTTCGCAGACCCCCAGGGATGGCGAGGTCCCGGTTGGGTCTGCTTGTGGCCCCACTGTGCGGGCTCCCCGAGCAACCTTTAAAATTGGCGACAGTTTCGCACTTCGCAGCCCCCCAGGGATGGCGAGGTCCGCTTTGGTTTGCGTGTGGCCCCACTGTGCTGGCCCCTCCCGGAGCTTTCGAAAGTAGCGACAGTTTCGCACTTCGCGGCCCCCCAGTGATGGCGAGGTCCCCGTTGGGCTTGCGTGTGGCCCCACTGTGTGGGCTCCCCCAGCAACCTTTGAAATCGGCGACAGTTTCACGTTTCGCGGCCCACAAGAGGTATGCAAGAGGAGAGAGCCAAGATGAGGGTGGGGGGGGGGGCGAGGAGAAGGAGACGGGAGTTGGCACCCCTCTGCTCTATTCATTATTCCGACGGTAGGACCCCGCACGATAATCTATTTAGATTGCCCTTCGTTCTTTCCTTTTCGCCTTGGCCGAACCCTCCGCCTCGCCCTCTGTTGCGCCTCCTCCTCATCCTCCGTCTCCTCCTCCTCCTGCTCGCCCTCCTTGTTCAATTTATCCTCTTCATTTTTGTTATTTTCCTCATCCTCCTCTTCCTCTTCCTCCTCCACCTCCTCCTTCTCCCCCCCCTCATCTCCATCCCAACTACCTTTCCTTTTTCCTAGCAGGGGGGCGCATGCCGATCTTCCTCGGGGCCCTCGCAGCCGCGCCCAGTAGGGGAGGGTTCTCCGATTGGTAAATCGCGACGCCGTCGGGGTAACGGCCGTTGGGATAACCCCGCGAATTGCTGGGGAGCGAGAGTAAGTTGTTGGGATAATCCCGCAGGCATTGAGTTAGTCGCGCTCGCGCTCAAGAAGGAGGCAACACGAAGTTCGGCTCTACCGCGAGCTGCTGCACCTCAGCCCTGGATTCCATAGTCATTCCCGAGGAGCCGAGACAGTGACGACAGTTACAAGGTTCCGATGGCCCGCTCGGATTACCAACATGAAGTGTGGACCCCATAGGGGGGGGGGGGGGGCTCCCGCCGAAGACTTCCTCACAATTCACTCACAGACGAAACTCCCGCCTAAGACTCCTCGGTATTCAGTCGAGAGGAACCGAACAAGTGACGACAGTTACAGGGTTCCGACGACCTGCTCGGATTACCAACATGAGCTGTGGACCCCATAGGGAGGGGGCTCCCGCCTGAGACTTCTTCACAATTCATTCACAAACGAAGCTCCGTTGTAGACTTCCTCGATAGGCACACAAGAAAAGCGCAAAAGGTGACGACCGTTAAAGGGTCCCGATGGCCCGCTCATATTACCAACGGTAAATGCGGGCCTCATGGGGAGGGGGCTCCCGCTTGAGACGTCCCCGCGATCCAGTCACACACGAAACTCCCGCCTGAGACTTCCTCCATTCAGTAGAAAAGGAGCCGAAACAGTGACGACCGTAACAGGATTCCGATGACCCGCTCGGACTGCCAACGTGAAGTGCGGACTCCATAGGGAGAGGGCTCCCGCCTTAGGCTGCTTCACAATTCACTCACGGACGAAATTGCCGCTCGAGACTTCCTCCATACCCATGCCAGAAATGCTCAAGTCAGACGACACTTACAAGGATCCGATGACCCGTTCGGATTGCCAACATGAGTCGCGGGCCCCACAGGGAGGGGGCTCCCGCTTGAGACTCCTTCGCCATTCACTCACCGACGAGGCTTCTCTTGGTCGATGGTCATGATGGGATGGTGATTGTGATGACGATTGTGGTGTGCGCGGGTGATGGTGGCGACGATGACGTTGATCCCCGACGATCACGATGGGATCATGACATGATGGTGGCTGAGGGATGGGAGTACGTGAATGAATGGGAGAATGCGAATGAGCGGATGTTGATGAGTGAAGATGTAGTGGGCTGGCACATGATGGTGGTAGTGATGATGATGACGATAATGACGACGATGGTGATGACGATGGTGATGGGTTGTGAGTGTGTGAAGAGGAGATGGGGTCAGGAGGAGGAGGAGGAGGGTTGCGCGGGGTGTCCAGACATCAAGAACCCCATCTAGGATGTGGGGCAAAACAAGAACCCAGCCAAGGGGGAGTTGGGAAAATACCTTGCGACGCACCCGACCCATCGGCACCAAGGGGTGATATGACGTGTGCCGACAATAATGGGACAGCAACAATGCAAGAGACGGCTCACGACGGATACTTATGTCGTGCGAAGGTTGCGTGGCCGATTCGTAGAACAGAGGTACAAAAGGTAAGGAGACATTGTAGTGGAAAGGAGAAGCACAAGGACCTGAAGACATCGGGGTGGAAGAACAATCGCTTCGGCAGAAGCAGCGAAATCATAGCGAGGTCTTTTTGGGATCTGCGTGGGGCCCCACTGTGCTGCCCCCCCGGCGGCCCCCGAACGTGGATAGCGAGGTCCCACTCGGGTCTGCGTGGGACCCAATTGCGCGGGCTCCCCAAGCAACCCCCGAAATTGGCGGCAGCTTCACACTTCGCAGCTCCCCAGATATGGCGAGGTCCCAGTTGGGTCTGCGTGTGGCCCCACTGTGCGGGCTCCCCCAGCAGCTTTCGAAAGTGGCGACAGTTTCACACTTCGTGGCCCCATAGGGATGGCGAGGTCCCGTTTGGGTCTGCGTGTGGCCCCTCTTGTGCTGGCACCCCCCAGGAGCCCTCGAAAGTGGCGACAGTTTCACACTTCGCAACCCCCCAGTGATGGCGAGGTCCCGTGTGGGTCTGCGTGGGTCGCCACCGTGTTGGCCCCCAACCATCAGCCTTCGAAAGTGGCGACAGTTTCACATTTCGCAGCCCCCCAGGGATGGCGAGGCTCTGTTGGGACAGCGTGGGGCCCCACTCAAGTGGCGACAGTTTCACACTTCGCAGCCCCCGAGAGATGGCGAGGTTCCGTTTGGGTCTGCGTGGGGCCCCACCGTGTTGGTTCCCCCAGCAGCCTTCGAAAGTGGCAAGCTTATATTTCGCAGCCTTCAAAGGATGGACATGTCCCGTTTGGGTTTGCGTGGGACCCCAGTGTGCTCCCCCCCCCCCAGCAGCCCGCGAAAGTGGCGACAGTTTCACACTTCGCAGCCTCCCAGGGATGGCGAGGTCCCGTTCGGGTCTGCGTGGGTCGCCACTGTGCTGGCTCTCCCAGGAGCTTTTGAAAGTGGCGGCAGTTCTACACTTCGTGGCCCCCCAGGGATGGCGAGGTCCCGTTTGAGGTTGCGCGAGGCCCCACTGTTGGTTCCCCCAGGAAGCTCTGACAGTGGCGGCGGTTCCACACCTCGCAGTCACCCAGGGATGGCGAGGTCCCGTTTAGGTCTGCGTGTGGCCCCCCTGTACTGGCCCCCCCAGCAGCCCTCGAAAATGTCGGCAGTTTCACACTTCGGAACCACACAGGGATGGCGAGGTCCCGTTTGGGTCTCCGTGTGGCCCCAGCGTGCTGGCTCCACAAGCAGCCTTCGAAAGTGGCGGCAGTTTTACACTTCGCAACCTCCCAGGGATGGCGAGGTCCCGTTTGGGTTTGCGTGGGACCCCGCTGCTCTGAACCCCCCCAGCAGCCTTCGAAAATTGCGACAGTTTCACTCTTCGCAACCCCCAGGGATGGCGAGTTCCCGTTTTGGTTTGCGTGGGACCCCACTGTGCTGGCCTCCCCCAGCAGGCATGCGAAACGGGGACAGAGCTGGCTCTCCCAGCGCAGGTGCAGAAAGGCGCAGGCAGGCGAGATGGGGACAGGAGGATCCGAGAGGATAGCGAGGGGGGGGGAGGAGGGAGTTCGCGACCCCACTGCTCTCTTCGAAACGATGACCAGTCCAAGGGAGGGTTGGGAAAAGCCGTTCCTGCACCCAGTCGCCCATGCAAGCAGTACACTAGCTTGCCCAGCGTTGCATCCCGCTGCACGTGCACGCGCGCGCACTGCGCGTTGCGAGGCAAAGAAGGGGCAAACTTTGCCCCTTGCTGGGCTCGATGCGCCGTTGGTGCTTCGCCAGAAACGAAGCCTCCGATGCCGTCATTCTTTTCGCTGCATGGTCCCTGGAGCTCTCCACCCCTTCTGAGTGATGGCGGTTTCGTCCCGGATCCTGTTTTGGTGGCCAACCAGAAAAAATCGGGCCTATAGGGACCGGCATGGAGGAAGCACCACGGCATTGAACGAACCACGACGGGACGAACGACAAACGACACGTGCCTGACACACCAACGCAAGGCGCGGTGGCGGATATACCCTGGGAGCGCCCATCCTGGGGCGGACGAAGGGGAACGGTTGGGAAAGGGGAGTGCGAAGGCTGCTGCACGCAGCTGGCTTCTGCTGCACCTCTGGGCACTTTCCTGGACGAACGGAGGCCTCCAGCGCTGGGAGGCGCCCGGAAGCAGTTGCGTGCAGCGGATTCGCCCCTTCTCTATCCCCCCTTTTGTCGCCCACCCCGGCCATCCGATCAACCACCTGACGGTCACCCCGTACCACACAGGCGCGGGAGACCCTTGCTCAGACCGCCCGACCGGCCCAGACCTCTGACGTCGTGGCTTTTTTGACTCTGCGCCAAGTTTTCCTCTTCCTCCGCGTGCTCCAGATATGTCGTCTCCACCACCTCCTCCTCCCCCTCCCCCTCCCCGTTCTCCTTCTCCTCCTCCACCTCCACCTCCTTCTCCACCTCCTCGTTTCCGCCACCTCCACCTTCTTCTCCACCTCCTCCTCCTCCTCCTCCTCCTCATCATCATCATCATCATCAGCATCCTCATCCTCATCCTCATCCTCCTCCCTCCCCCTCAAGCTGTTTCCTCTCGAGCGCTTTTGCTTTTCGGGGGGAATCGCCTCACCTCCACGCGGTGCTTAAGTGACCCCTGTTCCACGATATCCTCCTTAGAGCTTCGCAAGCTGCAGGTCTCTAGCCATTCCCGACAGCCTTCGCAGGCTGCGGGTTGGGGGGCTATGGGTTCAGGTTGGCAAAGGGAGCGAATGAGCATCTCATGGCTATGGCGGTCGACCCACATGTGCGCATAATGGGGCAGCCCGGGGGTAAGTCGATTCCGTGCTCGCTGTCCTTCACATGAGTATAATCGTGGTTTCTGTGAATTCTAGTATTGGCGGTGACGTCATATTAATACGCTCAAGTAGCGCAAGGCATTGTGCAGCCATGGCGTGTACCGTCGTCCGCGTCAGCGTCCATCCTTACGGGCATCTACGGATTTAGCAAGATCATTACGCAGCATCTTGATCTTGTGGCTCTTACCATGGTTTCTGGTAGGGCACCCTTGTCAGCTCCCATGAGGAGAGCCTGGGTAGGATGCTCATTGCGCCTCATCGGAGGAATACGACCAGGGCACCTCTTGCTGCAACAAGATCATCACGCAGCACCTTGATGAGTCTGGTCCACCTCCGTTTTGGGAGATCGGCCACGGGTCGATCGAGACAGGGCAGAGATTCTTAAATGCGCCGTCCCCATTCCAGGTCGCCCCCTTGACTGGGATCCGACGACCCTGTCGTGCCAGAGGACCCGCTACCCTGCCTCGGCAGGGCAGGTTAGCCGCAGCTTGATCAGGTGTGGTCTTTTTGTAGCCGCAGGTCCTGCTAGCTCGAGGTGTTCCGTTCGTGCCCCAACTTGACTGTAGGACTGGGCGGTTCAAGTGTTGTAAGTGCCTCTTTCTCGCTTCCCGTTCAGTCTTTGTCAATATATGCCGTGTCATTTGAGTAGCGGTTGCCCTTGTTTGTCCTTTTGTACGTCGCTCTCGGTCCATGGCAATTCGTGCTGCCTCCCATGTGACACGCGGCAGCGGTTGTGCGCTGGATCCCAGGCTGGGTGTGTTTTCATACCTGCCAGGATTCTGTCGATCGAAGCCTTAGGCCCTACTTGCGTTTCTGCGTCAAGCCAATGCTCCGTCTTTCGGCGAAAGCCACGGCTCGGCAGTGCCACTTTGCTTGTCGCGGCCGGGTCTTTCGTTTTCGCTTCGGCAAGTCACCGAGTCTTCGCGTTGCGCAAATGAATCGGCGGAGGCGTTTCCAGCTCTCTTGGATATATCTGCGGGCTGAAGCTTGAGCTTTCCTCCTTGCTCGGGTCAGGAGCAGTCGCTCACGGGCTTGGAGGTTTGTAGCGTACGGTAGATTTGTGTTGTGTCGACCGGCGGCGACCCCACCAGCGGCGTTCAACGTTGAACGCCGCGGGCGACCCAGAATCTTTCGATGTGGAACGATTTTGACGTTTCAGAAACGGCCCATCGTTCAAGGTTGAACGATCCCCGCGGTGTCAGAAACCAACGCCGAAGTCGGCACGACACGAACCTGCCGTAGATTGGATGTCACCTTGTGATAGCGTCCACTCCGCACCACTCCTCCCCCCTCCCCCTCGAGGGAGGAGCGGGGCGGAAGGCAGGAGAGGGCCTCCCTCCGCCCTCCTCCTCCTCCTCCTCCTCCTCCTCTTTCTCCTCTCCCCCCTCCTCCCCCTTCTCCTCCTCCTCGTCCTTCTCATCCTCCTCCTCCTTCTCCTCCTCTTCTCCCCCCCCCTTCCCTCGAGGGAGAAGGGTTGGGGGGAGCACGTGCTCCTGCGCGGATGCCGTCGTCTCGCTGCTCTCTTACCTCGTCCGTGCTCGGGTCAAGTCGGGCGTGTCCCTCTGCAGGGGGGATGTCCAAAGGTAGTCAAGAATAGTCGGGGGACGATTTCGTTGAGCATCTTCTGTTCATTGTTTGAACATCTGCTGAATATTCTTGCATTTTTCGTCGAAGATCGGCCTGTCGAGGGACATGCCCGACCCAAGGCTGGTTTCGGCCTCCGCCGCTGGACGCCTTCCTTTGATACACTGGCGCCTCCTGGCGCCAGGGAAGTCAGGCACGTGAGCTGGTTCGCGAATCCCCCTGTCTCAGCTGCCTCGATACGCCCGTTCTGAGACGCAACACGTGCCGTGCTCAAAACGTCCGTGTCAGTACGTTCCGTGTCGGCTCCACGTATTGGCCCACGCTTTGGCGAATGCATCGCGTCGGACCTACCTTTTCAGTCTACGTGTTGCGTTCCGTGCCAATGCGCTGCGTGTTGCGTGTTGCGTATCGGGGCAGCTAAGCCCCCTGTGCTATCCCCCCCCCTCTCGTCCGATCCGAGGGGAGGAGTCGAGATGTCCGCGGGGATCCCGCATGGGAGAGATTACGACGTCGGAGGTCTGGGATGCCCACCCCGCTGCCCTCCTCTCCCTGGAGGGGAAGTTGGACGAGGGAGCGAGGATCGAGGATCCAGGGGCAGGATCGATGACCGAGGACCATCGAAGAAGAAAAAACGCTATAAACATAACTTTTGGCGCCCCGCGCGGATGTTTTGATCGCTGGCCCCCCCCCTAACGGCGCCTCCAGCGTCGCAACTGGGGCGCTCCGCGCGCCAAGAAGGGGGGGTCCGGCGCAGATCCAAGAAATCCGCGCGGAGGGCCGACAGTTTATGTTTACAGTTTTTTTGTCGAGGATCCAGGGGCAGGATCGATGACCGAGGCTCAGAGATTTGGACGTGCTTTTGGGCTCGCATGGGGCATCCCCTGGAGGCTCTCGACTTCCAGGGGGCTTCGACGAGGGAGGGAGGATCGAGGACCCAGGGGCAGGATCGATGACCGAGGATCAGAGACTCGGGCGTGTCTGGGCTCGTGTGGGGCCTCTCCCGGATGCTTTCTCGACTTCCAGGCGCTTCCCAGAGGCTGCCATGGGATCTCTTCCAGAGCGGGGGGGGTCAAAGGCAGGCGTTGGATCGGGATACCTTTTATGTCGGGCGTGTCCCTCTACAGGGGGAGCATGCGGACATAGTCAGAACATAGTTTGGGGACGACTTGTCTGTTAGTGTTTGACTGTGTTTGAGGATTTCCAGACTATGTTTTAAATTTGTTCTTGCAACATCCGCCTGTAGGAGGACGTGCCCGACCTCAGGGCACCGCGCTCCGGAGCTCCAGGGCGCTCGGGCACGTCCTCGGGGCGTGCTGGAGCTCCTTGGAGCGCTCGCGGCGTCCGAGGAGTCTTCTGGACCAGCCGGCTCCCTGAGACCCCCGATCTGTCCCGATTCGGCTCTTCACCGGGCGCGTTCCACTACTCACAAAGTGCCTACTCGCAAACGCTCGAAAAACACATGCCTGCTTCGATGTAATTTATCGCAGATCCCCCGCGGCGGATCCAGGCGATTTGCGAGTAGCTACTTTGCGAGTAGTGGAACGAGCTCGTCTAGATCTGGCCCGATCCTTTTGCCTCTCCCTGTGGGGGGGTGCTCGGGCTGGCGGAGCGTGGCGAGGCTCCCGCGGAAGGCGGCAGGACGCTCGGATTCCTCAGGACCCGCGCGGCCGGGCGAGTGTCCAAGGCCATGGCGCTGAGCGGGGCGGCCCACGACGCGCTGATCCTGGGCAAGTCCGACCACATGAAGGTGCGGTTCTGGCTCGAGATGTTCGGGATCGGCGTCGGGGAGAACATCCCGAACAAGAAAGAAGGCGTATGCATAGACTTTTGAAGGTCCGCGCGCCTCTCTTGCATCTGCGCTGGGCCCCTCTGGTGCCGCCTCGGGCGCCGCCCCGGGCGCGCTCTGCGCGCCAGGGAAGGTAGTCCAGCACCGATCCAAGAAACTTGCGCTGACCCCAGAAATTTATGTTTATGCTTTGGTTTCTTCTTCTAAACATCCATTTCCATCCGCACGAGGAACCCAGCCGACTCCTCAAGTGGTCCAGCAAGTGGGCGAGGCAGGCCTTGAAGGCCGTGGGTCAGAGCCATGATCCTGACGACACTCCGTCGCTGCTGCGAGCCTTGCCAGCGATACTCCTCTGTCAGCTGGTGTATGGCCTCCTTCTCTCGGCGGACATATCCAGCCGCAAGCAGTGCGGGTGCGAATGGGCCGAGACGCTCTTCCTGCTAAGCGTCGGTCTGATGCTCATCATGGTCTCGCTGAGCTTCTTTGCTTTCCTCCCATGTCTGGAATGGATATTGTATTCGCCAGTGGTCCGCTTCATCCATCAGGTGACCAGCTTCTATCATCGGTCAGAGCGTCCACCGAGCCTGCTCTACGTCACCGACGGCGTGATCGAGGACAACACTGGTGTCGTCGCACTGTTGCGCAGGGAATGCCAGCGGATCCTCTTGGTGTACGCCGGGGCAAAGAAGGGGGATAAAGACCAGTTCAGTTTCTTGAAGAAGATAGCAGACGCCGCAGCGACTGCGAAGGTCGCCTCCATCTATGACCTGGAGGACCTCGCAGGTGGGAAGCATGATCATCCATACACACGTCCTGGCGGTCTTTGTGCAGATGCCCCGCGCGGAACAGATCTACGGGATATGCATCCATGGGTTCGCGCCTCATCATCCAGACCGCGCGGGCACCGGTGTGGATCGGCTCGTCGCTCGTGAGGACCCTCGCCGCCACTGGCAGGCCGCGGTGCAGCAGTTCGAGTGCGACCCCGAGAACACGTGCCTGGAGCTCGGCGTCCTCTTCGGCTGGGACAGCGAGCTCGGCCGCCGGAAGACCGGGCGCCTCCTGATCCTGAGGTTGCACGTGCCCCCCTCGCTGGAGAACATGCCGTGCCAGCCCGTGGTGACCGAAGATGAAGTTGTTGGTGCCGTCGCCTCCTGCCCTTCGTCGTCGCTGTCGACGTCGCGGTCCTTGTTCCTCCTCCTGCTCCTCCTCCTTCTCGTCCTTCTCCTCCTCCTCCTCCTCCTCCTCCTCCTCCTCCTCCTCTTCCTCCTCCTCCTTCTCTCGGTGCGAGATCGAGCGGAAGCAGCGATTCCGACACCGACGACTACCTGCTGCCTGGGAGGGCCCGCGACCTGCGCGGCTGCTGGTGCGACTGCTGCCATCGACGCAGGCTTGGATGCCCGAGGATGTTCCCGTACCCGCCGACCGGGATGCAGTTCCTATCGCCGCAGGCTTCGGCGGGGCGCCCAAGGGTTGAGTCGGGCTTGTCCCTCTACAGGAGGAACCTTCAAAAATAGTCAAACAATAGTCTGGGGATTATTTTTTGAGTATTTTTTGGCCATTTCGGATCATGTTTGGAGTATCCTTTGATTTTTCGTAGAAAATCCCCCTGTAGGGGGACACGCCCGACTTAACCCAAGGGGGCAGGGCAGCGGGGGCGGGCCTCCTCGGCAGGCTCTGCAGGCCCCCCCCGGTCTTCGAATAAGCTCTCTGTGAGCCTTCTCCGAAGCCGCGGGCGACTTCTCGGAAGGCCAGAGGGCTTCGGAGAAGCCCCACCGCCTTCTGAGCCTTCTCCGAAGCCACCGAAGACTTCTTCTCAGAAGGCCAGAGGGCTTCTGAGAAGCCCCGCCGCTCTCTGAGCAGGCCTGCCTCCTCTCGTTTCTCTCGTTTCTACCCTCGCCGCGCCGCCGACCCGCCGCACAGGTCACCAGCAGCTTGGTCCGGCTCGGGCACGCGATGGCGAGGGACGCGGTGGAGAAGCTGACCCGGCTATCCCTCCCGGGCGCGCTCTGATCGAAGTTCCGACTGCAGCGCGTGTGTCAAGCTTTGCAGTCGTCGTCGCCATCACCATCATCAGCATTCGCCATCCGCGATCCTCACTGACCCGAAAGGTTCATGCTCAAGCTTCGGCTCGTCCCCACAGGTTGGCCAAGGCGGCGATCGTGTTCGCGAGCGATATAGCTAGCTTGAAGTCGGGCCTGTCCCTCTGCAGGAGGAGTATGCAAAAATGATAAAAAAATGGTCAGGGAACGATTTTATGAGTATTTTCTGAATATGTTGGGGTACTTTTTGACTATTTTAATGTTTTGTCCAAGATCCCTATGTAGGAGGACAGACCCGATTTACGACTAGCTGAACTGATGGAGCAGCCCAGCGCTGGCACATACAGCGGCGGCCGCAGCTGCGCGTGTGGTCGCGCGATGGGCGGTCTCTGTGGTGCGGTGTGGTCATCCTCCCCCGCGGGGCGCAGGAGGCTCCGCGGCAGCGCGTCGCGGTCGGCGGCGGCGGCAGCGCAAGCGAGCGAGGCGGAGGCAATGCGGAGAGGCATCGGCGTCACCCAGACAGACTCGCACTGCGTGTGCGCCGCCCCCCCCCCTCTCCCCTGGTGGCGACGCGCGGGCTCTGACGTCTGAGCCCGCTGCAGGGACCCCTTTATCGAACAGAAGCCAGGAACACCTCCGCGGGCGAAGCCAGCATGCGTGCCGACCTGCTGGCGGAACCTCCTCCTCCTCCTCCTCCTCTTCCTCCTCCTCCCTTGCGGACGGGAAAAGAGATGACGACCGTGCCCCCTCCTCCTGCTCCTCCTCCTCCTCCTGCTCCTCCTCCTCCTCCTCTTCCTCCTCCTCTTCCTCCTCCTCCTCCTCCTCCCCTGCGGACGAGAAAAGCGATGACGACCATGCCCCCGAGCCCGCCTTCGGGGACCTACTACATGCTCGGTGGCGGGCCTTTTCTGGCCGTGCCGCCCAGGTAACGATTTGCTGTGACATGCTTGTGCTTCATGCTCGGTTCGGACGTGCACCTGCAAGGGCTGCGGACGACGATAAATGGAGAGGAGGCATGTTGTCAAAAAGTTTTCAGATGTCTACACCAAGTTCTAGACATGTCTCCAACATGTTAAGACGTGCTTTAGACCTTTTTACGGTCGTTTCCAAACATGTTAAACACATGTTTAATTCAATGATCGGATTGTTAGGGTGTCCATTGTCATGGTGTCCACAATCCAAGGGGGGCGCATAGTACTAGAACCCTGCCTTGGCAGGGTGGTGCACTCCTGGGCCACAGGTCGGCTGATGCTGAGGCGCACGCGGATTGGCCGTCCAGTGTCTGGCGGTGGCGTCTGAAAGTAAACAGACTCGTCCTGCAACTGCGCTGTTCGGGCTGGGCCCAAGACGACTGGCAGGCGGCGAGTGCTGGCGGTCCCAGTCATCCAAAGTCTTTGAAACTTCTCGCCGGAAGCGTTTCGTGTTGATTGGCCTCCGAAGGCTCTCGCCGGCTGGCCATTGGGAAAGGGTCGGAATTTCGGGGGCGCCGTACGCATTGAAAGAGTTAAGTCATCGGATGCCTGGGGTCTGACCGTGGGGCAGCGTGCCATTCTTGGCCGTGGTGGTCGCGCTGGCAGCGCCAGCAGCATAGGAGCTGCCCAAGACGTGCGTCGAGGACCCGATCTGGACGAGGGCGTGACGAGGACAGCGCACTGCTGGGCGCCACCACCTCCGTCGCGAACCGGGGACCCCTGGGAGCGAATAGATGGCCATCGTGGAGACGAGGGCGCAGGCTGCGGCTACGGTGGCGGGAGCCGACGGGGTCCAGCGCGCGTAGGAGCTCCGAGGTGGTCCGTGCGTGCGCACGCGCGCCACGGGCTTCTCGCGAAAGGCGGCGCGCTGCCTCCGGGGGCCGCCTGCCTCGGGCTGCCGCGAGGTTTCGGGCGCGTTGCGCGCCTCTCCGTGCTCCCACCGTGCTGTCCAGCTGCTGCAGACGGCGGCCTCGAGTGTTGCCTGCCTCAGCGGGGGCCCAGCGCAACGGTTGGACTGGCGCTCGCCGCGCGGCGTCAGCGCCTGCGTGGCGGGGCGCGCTGGCGAGCTCTGGAGGGGCGTCTGTGTCGAGTGGAGGGCTCTAGGCCGCCTAGATGGGGTCGGAGTCGGAGCATCGCCGGTGCATCGGCGGTGCATTAGCGATGCGGCTGGTGTGGAGCCCATTTTTTTCTCCACGCCGACGTCGCCGATGCATCTCCGACGTCGCCAGCGCATGGCCGATGCCTCGCATGCATCGGCGATGCATCGCCGATGCATCGGCGATGCGGCGAGATTATCCTACCATATCTTTGAAAGGTGGGCCGGAGGGAAAGGGTTGGACCGACCGTGTTTTCTATGAAAATCTGGAAATTGTTTGGGAAAGTTCCGGGATGATCAATTTTTCCCAACCATCCTGTGGTGTTGGGTCCTCGTTTTGAAGAGACGGTGCCCCGCGTCCTCCTCCTCCTCCTCCTCCTCCTCCCCCCCCTCCCTCCTCATCCATCATCATCATCATCATCATCATCATCATCATCATCATCATCATCATCATCATCATCATCATCATCATCATCATCATCATCATCATCACCTTCGATTTCGGCACACCCCTCACACGTTCGTGGCCCCATAGGGAGCTCCACCGAAGGCCCCAGTGGCAGGGTCCGCATGCCTCCCCACCACCCATTTCGGCACACCCCTCACACGTTTCGTGGCCCCATAGGGAGCTCCACCGAAGGCCCCAGTGGCAGGGTCCGCATGCCTCCCCACCACCCATTTCGGCACACCCCTCACACGTTTCGTGGCCCCATAGGGAGCTCCACCGAAGGCCCCAGTGGCAGGGTCCGCATGCCTCCCCACCACCCATTTCGGCACACCCCTCACACGTTTCGTGGCCCCATAGGGAGCTCCACCGAAGGCCCCAGTGGCAGGGTCCGCATGCCTCCCCACCACCCATTTCGGCACACCCTCACACGTTTCGTGGCCCCATAGGGAGCTCCACCGAAGGCCCCAGGCACATGGGCACAGTTTCGTGGCCCCATAGGGAGCTCCCGAAGGCCCCAGTGGCCCGCACCCATTTCGGCACACCCCTCACACGTTTCGTGGCCCCATAGGGAGCTCCACCGATTCGGCCCCACGTCGTGGCCCCATAGGGAGCTTCCGCATGCCTCCCCACCACCCATTTCGGCACACCCCTCACACGTTTCGTGGCCCCATAGGGAGCTCCACCGAAGGCCCCAGTGGCTGCGTTCCGCATGCCTCCCCACCACCCATTTCGGCACACCCCTCACACGTTTCGTGGCCCCATAGGGAGCTCCACCGAAGGCCCCAGTGGCAGGGTTCGCATGCCTCCCCACCACCCATTTCGGCACACCCCTCACACGTTTCGTGGCCCCATAGGGAGCTCCACCGAAGGCCCCAGTGGCCTGGTTCGTATGCCTCCCCAACACCCATTTCGGCACATCCCTCACACGTTTCGTGGCCCCATGGGGATTTCCACTGAAGGCCCCAGTGACTGGGTTCGCATGCGCCCCCACACCCATTTCGGCACACCCCTCACACGTTTCGTGGCACCATAGGGAGCTCCACCGAAGGCCCCAGTGGCTGCGTTCGCATGCCGCCCCCACACCAATTTCGGCACACCCCTCACACGTTTCGTGGCCCCACAGGGAGCTCCACCGAAGGCCCCAGTGGCTGCGTTCGCATGCCGCCCCCACACCAACTTCGGTGCACCCCTCACACGTTTCGTGGCCCCATAGGAGCTCCACCGAAGGCCCCAGTGGCAACGTTCGCATGCCGCCCCCACACCCATTTCGGCACACCCCTCAAACGGTTCGTGGCCCCATAGGGAGATCCACCGAAGACGGTACTCACACCAGCATTACTCACAACTGCATATGGTTGGGTCCTTCGCCAGGCTAATTTTTGGAGTGTGGTGTGTGTGTTTTGTTCATGTGTTTTGTTGTTTGTACGTTTCGCGCCCCTCGTAGAGCCCGCCCTGAGCTGGGTGTGCTGGTCCTGCCGCACCCGTTCCAGGGCAAGGGCGTGCCAGGCGTGAAAGTCGTCCATTTCGCGGAGCTGGAGGCCGAGCGGTCGGCGCTTGGCGGCTCCTGCTGCACGGGCGGCCAGCAGTGCGGGAGCCTCGACGGGATCGGCGTCGCGGTGCCCGCGGAGGCCATGCAGTCTGGCGGCGGCCACGTCGGCAAGGCGGGCTCGGGGCCAGAGGTCGTGTGTGGGACCTGCGACACCCAGGCCAACGTCATGCTCGGCGCGCCCGATGTCTGGCCGTCGGCCGCCGCCGCCGAGGCGGAGTTCGGAGGCGCAGAGGTCCTCAGGGGTGGCGGCCGCGGCGGTACTGGACCTACGCCTGGAACCTGGCACGTGGCCAGCCCATTCGCGGAGGCGAAGGCTTTCGCCGCAGGGTTCGCCTCGGGCTGGAGCTTGGCTGAGCGCGACGCCGCCCAGGCAGAGCGCGTCGGTGCCGCCTCGCAGACGGTTGAGGAGTCGGCGATGCTGGTGCGCCCGTGTGGCCTGCCTGGTGGTCTGTCGGCAGTCGACTCCCATGTTGTCGCCGTTGACGCTTGCTCGGGTGCCGAAGGGTTTGTCGACGGCGGAGTCGCTAGCGATGACGAGTGGCTGCGCTGTGCTGGTGTGGAGGCGGACACGGCCTGCTCCGCCGTGCCGCAGCAGCTGCTCGGTGCGGCCGCCGCCAGCTACCTGGAGGCGCATCCCGCTGCGTTCCTCAGCAGGAGCAAGGGTCTGCACGAGGCCGGCGAGGTGCTGCAGGCCTCGGGCGCCGTCGTCCTCGGCGAGGCAGGCGCCGCGCTGGCGGCGGGCTCCCTGCTGAAGCGGTACCAGGAAGAGCAGCAGGGCATGGCCATCGAGATGGCCATCGTCGGCGGTCTGGACGTCGGCGCCCAGCTCGGGGGCCTGGCGAACGAGAGGCGGTGCGAGGACTCGGAGGCTCCCGTCTCGCAGCAGGAGGTCGAGGAGGCCTCAGATGACGATGGCGGGAAAAGGGTCAAGCAGAGCGCGTGGTGGGCCGCGAGGGCCAGCATTGCTCGCAATTGGCTCGAGTCAGTGGCCGAGGACCGCGATGGGCAGGATGTTTCCGTGCTCGACAACAGTGTCTCGGGATCGGAGCTCCTGGACAGCGAGCTCGGGGGCGAGTCTGGCGACTACGTTGGCGTGCTCGAGTGCGGGGAGGAGGCCCCGTTGGAGGCGGTCGCGCTCTTGACTGTTACTCCCGAGCCTACGGTGCATGTTGTCTTGCAGGGGCAGCGGATGAACGTTCCGAAGCCCGCTGCCGACTATCTGCTTGAGCTCGAGCACGCGGCCAGGGAGCGTCGCCTTAGTCCGCTGGACGTCGAGGAGATAGTGTCGTTCTCTTTGGCGGGGGAGGCGGCAATCAGGGACGCGATTGAGGCGGGTGGGGAGACAGACTTCTTCGACGAGATGGGGTACGAGGCCGAGGCTGGGTGCTGTTTGACGCGCTGGGGCTCCCCGGCGGCGTAGCAGACTCACCGTGGTGACCCCGTATGCAGGTGGGCGCTATGGAGCCGCGGCGGCGTGACTGTTTCCGACGCTGTGTTGCGGCATTGGAGCTAGCTCATTTGGCGGAGTGGCCTTAGCGCCCTTGTATGGCGAGCGTGAGCGGTCGACGTTTGCTGGCTGAGGCGGGAGGCGATGGGGTTGTTGCGTGGTTGCGTGCGGACACCGCCGCGTGAGGCCCCCGCCGCGGGCGGCTACCGAATGCCCTCTACAGTGCGCCCCCGCCTGATCTGCGAGAGGGCCCTGGCGAGGCTGCGGCGCCTTCGGCGGCGACTGGAGCTGGCGCGGCGGCTGGGGCAGCGACGCCCCCTGGCGCGGCGGAGGCGGCCGCCCCGCGCCCTTCGCCCGCTGTCGCTTGCGGGTCGGGAGAGGTGCTCATCCTCCCGCCGTTGGCCAGCGTGGGCCGCGCCCACGGCTTCGGCAGCCTGGCCGAGGCGTCGCGCCAGAGGCCTGGCGGTCCGTGATGAGCGCGCGGAGGCCGCCCGAGCGAGAGCGGTGTATCCCAGCCTGTGCGAGGTGCAGAGATACTCGCGTCCTCGGGGGCTGAGGCGCCGCCCGCGCGCCGTGCAAACACATGTTGGGGCGCGTCTCTCGAATCCTATGCATGGGCACTTGTCTTTCCCGTCGCAGCGAGAAAGAAGCAGTAATGCCCTCACCGTATTCGGACCCGATCTAGGAGGCCCCGAAGGGCAGATGGCCCTGCGCGCGGGCGCGTGACGGCTCGGGCAGGGCTCCCGGGGCACGCACACGAGGCGTGTGCCACGGGTGCTTTGCCCTTCCTGCCCATGGGGGGCAGCGCTCGGTCGCGCCTTGGCGGTCTCGTGGCTCGGTCGCGCGGTCTTCCTCTGGCCCCGGCTCACCGCTCGCCTTCAGCCGGGCCTGTCCCTCTACACGAGGAGTATTCAAACATAGTCAAAGCAGCATACGGTGACGATTATTTGAATATTTTTGAGTTGCATCTATATCATTTGTTCCCCAACATTTTTTGAATTTGTCCTCCAAAACCCCCCTGTCGGAGGACACGCCCGACCTAAGGCTCGCAGTGGCACCCATCACCGCACTGGCCGCGCACATCCACCCACCCGCTTGCGGTGGCGCAGGCTGTTGGGGGCGCCGTGGGCGGCTGGGCGACGGCCGCGTGCCCTCGCACGACGAGCGCGCCGCCCTTCCTCCTCGGCGCTGCCGCGCAGTGCAGTCAACCCGCATGATAGGGATGGGCAGCCTTCCCAAGTCGAAGAAGACAAATCGCCATAAACAACAACTTTCGGCGCTCCGCGCGGATTTCTTGGATCTGCGCCGGGGCCCCCCTGGCGGCGCCTCCGGCGCCGCCCCTGGCGTGCTCCGCGCGCAAGGGAGGGGGGTCGCAGATCCAAGAAATCTTCGCAGAGCGCCAACACCTTTTTCTACAAAGGGTACCCTTGCATCCTTGCCGCCTCCGCCCATCCTTGGCCATTTTTGCTGGCCGCGCCCCGCTCGAAAAGCTTCGAGATGGCCTTACACTGCCCTTGCCTCCTCCTCGTGCGTCCTGATGATACGGGCCGGCTGTGACTCAAGAATCAACGGCACAAACAGATTTTTGTCGGAGGTCCGCGCGGATCAATTGGATCTGCGCTGGACCCCACTGGCGGCGCCTCCAGGACCGCCCGTGGCGCGCTTCGTGCGTCAGGGAGGGGGCTGGGCGAGGCGAGGCAAGCGCGCGATGTCGGTCCAGCGGGACGGCCCTCACAGGGCAGCGCGGGGGGGGCCAGAGCCCACAGGAGACGTGCTGGGGCAGCTGCCGGAGCCGGAGCTGGTGGGAGAGATGGGAACCGGAGGCGGAAGGATGGGAGCCGGAGGCGGAGAGGCGGAAGCCAGGGAGGGGGCTCCAGGCTCGATGGGCAGGTGGGCGCAGGCGGTTTTCCACGGCACCAGGGATGCCGAGTGGTCGGCGTTCCGGGCGCGCGCGCGCGCGCCCGTTTCCTGGTCGAGCTTTCGGGGGGCCTTCGGAGAGGGGCGCCGGAGCCTCGTTCTTTCCTGGCGCTTCCCGCCCGCCGAGCTCCGTCGAGGTCGACCAGGTGCAGTGGAGGCCCATGCCAAGCAACACCCTGCTTGCCTCCAGGGTGCCCTGGGTTTCTTGGGTGTCGAGGATTCTGCTGTGGAAAGCGTGACGTTCCCACCAAACATCATCGGACGTCCTGGGGCCTCAGGGTTGGGTTTCTTGCGGGAGGTTTCTGGTGGACCGGCCTCCACTGTACTTCGCTCCTTCCTGGCGTCTCCAGCCTTCCGAGCTCCGCCGAGGTCGGCCACGTGCTCCTGCGCGGGCATGTCGGCACCCCTCTGCTAACTCTCCCTGTCCGCGTGCCCGCGCCCTTCGGCATATGGGTCGCGTGGCCCCCCTCCATGTCCGTCTCCGCCGTCCCGTGCCTCGGTTCCCCTCTGCCCCCCCCCCCCGTGCGGCAAATTCCCTCCGAGGCCCTGCTGGAGGAGGGGCGAGGTCGACGCGCGGCCGAGGACGCGCGCAGCGGGCCAGGGGGGCAGGAGGGTGAGCGCACCGATCGGCTGGCGGGCCAGCCTGCGGCGCAGGAAGGGGACAGGACGGACTGCCAGGAAGCGGACGGGTCCTGCTGGGGACGAGTCCTGGGGCTTCCCTCCGTGTTCGGGCTCTCGGGGCCGCTCCCGGCCGCGGGCCCTGGGGCCGTCGAGTAACGACTCGGGATGACGAGCTGGTCCTGGGGGGAAGGCGCTGGGCCCGGGGTCCGGGACCTGTGTCCCTCAGGACCAGTCTTAAGTCGGGCCTGTCCCTCTAAAAAATTGTCTGGGGACTATCTTTATATTTTTCCCAACCATCCTGTGGTGTTGGGTCCTCGTTTTGAAGAGACAGCGCCCCGCGTCCCACTCACTCACTCACTCTTCCTCCCCCTCCTCCCTCCTACGTGCATTTCATCCACGCAGTGCAGCGCTTCGTGGCCCCATACGGAGTTCCACCTAAGGCCCCAAGAAAAGGGGTACTACATGCGTCCGCCACACCCACTACGGCGCTTCGTGGCCCCATAGGGCGCTCCACCTAAGGCCCCAGTGTGGGGAGGGTACCACATGCGTCCGCCACACCCAGTACAGCGTCTCGTGGCCCTATGGGGAGCTCCACCACAGGCCCCAGTGGGGGGGTACCAAATGCGTCTGCCAAACCCACTACAGCGTTTCGTGGCCCCATGCGGAGCTCCACCTATGGTCCCAGTGGGGTTGTACCACATGCGTCCGCCACACCCAGTGCGGCGCTTCGTGGCCCTATAGGGAGCTCCCCCACCTAAGGCCCCTGAAGAGGGGGGTACCACATGCGTCCGCCACACCCAGTACGGTGTTTCGTGGCCCCATAGGGAGCTCCACCTAAGGCCCCAGTTGGGGGGTACCAAATGCGTCCGACACACCCAGTACGGCGTTTCGTGGCCCCATAGGGCGCCCCACCTAAGGCCCCAATGGGGGGTACCACATGCGTCTGCCACACCCAGTGCGGCGTTTCGTGGCCCCATACGGAGCTTCACCTAAGGCCCCAGTGAGGGGTACAACGTGCGTCCGCCACACCCAGGACGGCGTCTCGTGGCCCCATAGGGGGTTCCAGCTAAAGCCCCAGTTTGGGGGTACCACATGCGTCCGCCACACCCAGTACGGTGTTTTGTGGCCCCATAGGACGCTCCACCTAAGGCCCCAGTGGGTGGTGGCCACATGCGCCCCAGACGCCCAATTTTTGATAGTTTCACCCTCCCAGTGCAGCGCTTCGTGGCCCCATAGGATGCTCCACCGAAGCTTCCAGTGGGACCGTCCGCGTGCGTCCCGCGCATACAATTTGGCTTTTCACAACCCAGTATAGCGATTCGTGGCCCCATCAGGAGCTCCACCGAAGCCCCCAGTGGGACCGTCTGCGTGCGTCCAGGATACCTAATTTTTGGCATCTCCACCCACCTAGTATAGCGTTTCGTGGCCCCATTAGGAGCTCCTCCGAAGCTTCCAGTGGGACCGGCCGCGTGCGTCCGGGACACCCAGTTTGGCATTTCCATCCATGACCCAACACAGCGCTTCGTGGCCCCATAGAGAGTCCACCGAAGCCCCCAATGAGACCGTCCGCATGCGCCCCGGAAACCCAAGTTGGCATTTTCACCCACCCAGTACAGCGTGTCGTGGCCCAATAGGGAGCTCCACCGACGGCCCCAGTGCTACCGCCCGCATGCGTCCCCCCCCACCCAGTGCAGCGCTTCGTGGCCTCAGAAGAAGCTTCACCGAAAAAGGTATTCACAATTCCGGTATTCACCTTCGCGAGAATAAGATGTTTCCCAACAATTCTGTGGTGTTGGGCCCTCGTTTTGAAGAGGCAGCGCCCCGCGTGCCTCTCACTCACTCACTCCTCCTCCCCCCTCCTCCCTCCTCCATGCGTTTCGCCCACCGAATACAGCGCTTCGTGGCCCCATAGGGAGCTCCACGTAAGGCCCCAGGGGGGGGTACCACATGCGTCCGCCACACCCACTACGGCGCTTCGTGGCCCCATGGGGAGTTCCACGTCAGGCCTCGGGGGGGGAGGGGGGTACCACATGCGTCTGCAACACCCAGTACAGCGTCTCGTGGCCGCATAGGGAATTTTTCCTAAGGCCCCAAGGGGGGGTACCACGTGCGTCTGCCACACGGAGCTCCACCTATGGCCGTGGGGGGTACCAAATGCGTCTGCCACACCCAGTGCGGCGCTTCGTGGCCCCATGGGGAGCTCCACCTAAGGCCCCAGTGGGGGGTACCACATGCGTCTGCCACACCAAATACATCGTTTCGTGGCCCCATAGGGCGCTCCACCTAAGGCCCCAGTGGGGGGTACCACATGCGTCCGCCACACCCAGTACGGCGCTTCGTGGCCCCATGGGGAGCTCCACCTAAAACCCCACTTGGGGTACCACATGCCTCTGCCACACCCATTGCGGCGTTTCGTGGCCCCATAGGGAACTCCACCGAAGGCCCCAGTGGGGGGTGGCCACATGCGCCCCATACGCTCAATTTTTGACAGTGTCACCCTCCCAGTACAGCGTTTCGTGGCCCCATAGGAGGCTCCACTGAAGCTTCAGGTGGGGCCGTCCGCATGCGTCCCACACACACACACACACACACACACACACACACACACACACACACACACACACACACACACACACACACACACACACACACACACACACACACACACACACACACACACACACACACACACACACACACACACACACACACACACACACACACACACACACAATTTTCACCCCCCCAGTATAGCGATCCGTGGCCCTATTAGGAGCTCCACCGAAGCCTCCAGTGGGACCATCTGCGTGCGTCCAGGATACCCAATTTTGGCATTCTCACTGGCCCAGTATAGCGCTTCGTGGCCCCATTAGGAGCTCCACCGAAGCCCCCAGTGGGACCGTCTGCGTGAGTCCGGGAAACCCAATTTGGCATGTTCACCCACTGTCTTGTGGTTCCATAGGGAGCTCCACCGACGGCCGCAGTGGGACCGTCCGCATGCGCCCCGGAAGCCCAAGTTGGCATTTCCATCCACCCAGTACCGCAGCCCCCAGTGGGACCGTCCGCCATGCGCCCCGGAAGGCCAAGTTGGCATTTTCACCCACCCA